CTGAAGCTGAGGCATCTAGGAAAGTGCAAGATGTTCCCTTCCCTAAACACATGAAGCAGAATAAAAATGAAGAACAGATCTGACAGCACAGTTTGCATTTCCCATTATTATTTGCACTCTCTGCATGTTGTGGATTGCAAGGGAAAATAAGCTGCTCTGAAACCTCTTTTCATTGCTCCCAAACAGTCTTGTTGGTCCATGTATCCAAACCTCTCATTACTCAGCCAGACACTTCTACTGTTTTCACCTCCTTGCTTTGTTTATCCATGATAACATGACTGAGTGCATTTCTGCCTTACCATGCAAGTAGGTGTTATGATTTATGCTTTGTTTTCTTAAATAGCCTCCTACAACACACTCCTTTGTCTTCAAAACACAATCCCCTCTGTGCTTCTATTTTCTCCCAGGCACCAGCTGAGGTACCACTCACACTGTCATTGCTCTAACTCCTGAAGTCTAATCCCAGCACAAGAAAGATGTGGACCTGTTGGAGTGAGTCCAGAGGAGGCCAAGGAGATGCTCCAAGGGCTGGAGCCCCTCTGCTCTGCAGCCAGGCTGGGAGAGCTGGGGGGGTTCCCCTGGAGAAGAGAAGACACCTGAGAGCCCCTTGCAGGGCCTAAAGGGGCTCCAGGAGAGCTGGAAGGGGACTAGGGACAAGGGATGGAGGGACAGGACAAGGGGGAATGGCTTCCCACTGCCAGAGGCAGGGATAGATGGGAGATTGGGAAGGAATTCCTGCTGTGAGGGTGGGGAGGCCCTGGCACAGGGTGCCCAGAGAAGCTGTGGCTGCCCCTGGATCCCTGGAAGTGTCCAAGGCCAGCTTGGATGGGGCTTGGAGCAACCTGGGCTAGTGGAAGGTGTCCCTGCCCATGGCAGGGGTGAAGTGAAATGAGCTTTAAGGTCCCTTCCAACCCAAACCAGTCTGGGATTCTGTAAGTGAGGCAGCCTGCTGGAATTACTTAGGACTCACTGAGAGCTGTCTGCCAGCCACAGCCTGGATATAACATTGATTGAGAGGCCATGGAGAGAGCGTGAGGGCTCAGTCTTCAAACCTCTTCAGTCCTTGTCCTTTTTACTAAAGCATTTGGGAGTAGAAATCCTTGTCCATCTGGAATAGAATGGAAATGACATTTCCACCCGACTAGCCCAAATTGTATGTTTTTTAGCCCATGCAAACCTGAGTGTGAACTGACAACTTTATAGATAAAAATAATAAAATGTCATCCTTCAAACCAATGATTCTTTACCATTGAACTTTACATGGAATGAAATCATTGTGTTCTGCAGTATGCCCATAGCAACTTCAGGTTGTAACTAGTGCTAACCTGTGATTTTGCTGGTTTACAAGTCAAAACAAGAGAAATCTTCATGATACAGTACAAGAATTTCCCAAACAGGTAAAAATTATGTGCCTTTACAGATGAAAAAAAGTATCAGAAATTACTTACTTGCCAGGCACTGCTGGAATAAAGGACAGTAAATAGAGGACTGGTACACTGTACTTACCATTGGATACACACTTCTCCATTAGATCTGCTATTCCCAAGCACATGGATAGTATTTACATTACAGATTAACTATACTTGGAAATGAAAACATTCCGAAAACTTTGTCACTAGGTAAATGTTCAAGTTAAATTTCAAACCCTTTTGTCCAGTTCATTACGTCCAACTGGGCAATGTTTTCCTGTTAAACATCTTTCTGAACTGGTTTTGCTCTGCTTCATTATTCCTAAACAATCCCTAGAGGAAGTTCAAAGGATAAGGGTTTATCATGTCTCTCCAAATACAAACGCCTCTCTTAAACTGTGCTGTCGTAACAGTCACGAGGTCTCCCAGCTCAGTTAGTGCATGTGGTCAGAAACAAGAAAAATATTGTACTTATAAGCTTTGGAACTTATAAGCACAAAGAGTCAAAGCTGATCACAGGCTACCTAAATTCAGTTAGCCCAGAGCCTGCCTAAGAAAGGTCTGCTCTGCCCCAGGTAAGTGCAGTGACCTATGTGGGAAGCAAAGACAGAGATATTTTTTTTCCCCTTTTATTTGCCTGCCCTTCATCTTCAGATGAAGCCTCTTGACCTTCTTTGTAAGAGGCCACTTCATACCCTTGTGTATTAAATACTTTCAGCTTTACTCAGAGTTTACTGTTTTGTAACAAAACCTCCTCAAAGCATTCAAGGAATGGAAAGAGAATGTTGTAGTAATAAGGCAGAATTCTTTTTCTCTGACAGAAAGACCCAGCAAGTTTATATTGCTCCATCACTATAAGACTAAAAAAATTTTGGTTCCACTCAACCAAAACTTTCGTAACCTACATTCATGTTTTTTATTTGTCCTGGAATCTGACCCCTTCAGCCTGTCACAGATCTGCTTTTTCAACATCTAATGCCATTAATAATTAGGTATCTCAGTTCTCTGACCGTGAGAACTAAATTATATGTACCACAGAACATCCTGCTTGCCTCAGAAATCTTTTTATCTCTTAGTTATCTCCTCATCGCCGTCATTATAAAAATGGATATGGATTTGAAAATGGGTCATGCAAAAAAAACCTTCCACAAATGATGCCCCAAGACATAATCAGAACCCCTAAATCTCTATATTTCAATGGGTTCAGTGGAGCTATAGTGACTTTAGTAATTCTTTTTTATGGCAGTCAGTGATCAGAAAATACTTCTGCATATTCAGGAATGCTTCATCTCTCGTTCCTTACACACTGTAATAGTTTATTTTTCAATTTATACTTACAAGTTGGGTCTCAGGAGGTTAGTGGTATTTTCACATATCCATATAAGCTCTAAGTTTCTTAAATGTAGTGTCATGAATAATTGTCATCACTCAAGAGGCATGTAAAGCCTACCGAGTTCTTTTCAAAAAAATTGAATAACCCTTATCTCACACCAGGGATTTCTTGGTTTTAAGTGTCTCCAATTAATTACTGCTGCCTTGTAGACTCATAAACTATCCAATATTTCCTGGAGAGACGTAGAGGCAGAATTCTTTCAGACAAGCACATCCAGAAAACAACCCTTGCTCAGTACAGATAATGCTTCCCACTGACTGTGCTAATGTTTCTTACATCTTCAACAGCTACAGCCTTGAAAGTATTTGTAACTTTTTTATCTTCCCTTTTCCCCCCCCTTTCCCATGGTGTCATATGAGATCTGACTGTGTATCATTAACTGTTTGACATGTCCTGGATATCATTTGGAACCAGGCTGTTTTCATGTGAAATCATTTTGAAGGATTTTAAATAAGAAGCTCTTACTCCATCTACTAAATCTGGTTTATGTTACTTCACCTTTCAAACTGCCCAAACACATGACATCTCCTGAAAATTAACAAGGTATATACTGTGAGGTGATACCTAATTTAGTTTATCCTATGAAAGTCTGATCAGCTCCCACAGAAATAAATTAAAAACACTGTGTTGACCTAACAAAAATTAGATTTGACCCTAAAAGGGCAGGACTCTGCTTACATGAACAGAGAGAACATGGTATTTCTATCAGTCTTTAAAGTGAGAATGAAAATTCAGGAATCTCTTATTAGAGAGAAGGAGAGAGATAAGGACATCATTCCAGTGAAGTCAGCAGAGATAAACTGATAAAACTGCTTTCAGGATGAATTCTGACAAATGAAGCAAAGCCAGAGTAGCTGTTACAGCCTCAGGTTAAAATCAAGACACAAAATAAAGATGTTTTGCGTGATAGAGACCGTTTATAACCATAAGGACATACATTCAGCTCAGCACTTTCATCTTTTCCCTTTTATACTTGCATTTATGATCTCACCTGGGTTTCCCACCCTGGATTTCTTCACAGCCATTTCTTCACATGCTGTACTCTGTGCTTAGGGATTTTGGGAGCTGCTACGGATTCTGCTTGGAGAGTGCATGTGTCAGTGCCCATGGAGCACTGCAGCAGTGCTGTCACCCGGATTTTAAACTTTTGAAACAGTACTTCATCTAGGGATAAAATTCCCTTGTCTGCCTTGGCAGGGGTCCAGAGCTCTTCCTGTGCTCTGCATACAGTCTTCCTGAAGTCTCTGACATGCTTTTGCTCTCCTGGATCTTCCAGAGGGAAGAACAGCAGCTCAAAAGTGGAGTTACTCTGTGCTGTTGCCCTGGCTGGGACTGGGAACTTTGGGGTTTCTGTGACCAGCTCAGAAACCCTTTCTGGAGGCTTCCCCACAGCACAGGCCAGGCTGAAGCTGCTGCTGCCTGGGGAGTGTGAAATGAAGGGCACCCCTTGGTCCCCCCTCCTCATCTAAAACTCTGCCCTGCTGATCTCTAGAAGGATCATTACTGTGCACCTGCAGCAACCCTGGAAGGAAGCTGGCCCTCCCAATGGGAGCAGGCGTCACCAGGAAATGACGAAGCAGCACCTATTAAACCTGCACATTCTTTTATATTTAGAAAAGACAGAGAAAACCTATCCAGAATCTGGACTTCTGCTAAGTCACAGAATCGTAGAATCGTCAAATGGTTTGGATTGGAAGGGACCTTAAAGCCCATCCAGTCCCACTCCCTGCCATGGACAGGGACACCTTCCACCAGCCCAGGTTGCTCCAAGCCCTGTCCAACCCGGCCTTGGACACTCCCAGGGATCCAGGGGCAGCCACAGCTTCTCTGGGCAGCCTGTGATCCTGCTCTAAGACTAGTTGCCCCCACTAAAGAAAATAAAGTTGCTGACCCTACAGGCAGATGAAATGCTTTCTCTAGTTAATTGATATGGTTTTGCAAGTGAAAAAGCGTATTGGGTGTGAAGCCCAGTTGCTTTTTGGTGAAACAGTTCCCGTAAGTGTAAAATTCAAAGACAGAAAAAAACCCCATGTTCACTTCAACACTGAGGTTCTTCATTAAAACATAAAATACATTAAGCGTGGAACATAAATATTACTTTTAGAAGAAAGGGAAAATGAGGCTCCATTAGGAAAGACAGTGAATAAGGAAATATAACTGAGATGGATTTGATTAATAGATTAGGAATGACAAAATAATCCAAGTAATGTTTATTTTCCCAGCATTAAGTAACCTTAATTACATTCTACTTCTCTAATAGATGTTTGCCACAGGGCATTTATCCACCATGTTGAACAGTAAATTTATGTATTTCTTTATGTAAGTCTCAGTATCAGCAGTCTATTTTCAAAAGCAACATTAAGGTCATGTAAAGTTCTATATTTAGGGTCTGTGCCAGAGCCCACTGGAGCTGAATCCCACTGAATCCCCAGCACCAAAGTGAGCCTTGTTGATGTGAGATGTTCCACACTGGGGAGTGTAATTGCTCTCTGGTCTGTCTGCCATCCACAGAAATAGTGCATTTGCCACTTCTCTGTAGGTGAGAAAGTGAGTACCAAAATTATGACTCAAGGTCCCCACCAGGTTTTACAGCTCTACATATTTTTATATGTACACTTATATATGCATTTTACAAGGGCATGTAGTGATAGGACGAGGGATAATGAGGTTTAACTGAAAGAGGGTAGATTTCCATTAGCTATTGGAACTCAGAGCGGTTGGCCTTTGCTTCAGATTTTGCTGAGATTGGGTAGACAGGGTTTGGGCAGCTGCAAACCTTTCCTGGTCACTCCTGCTCTCCACAACCTCTCAGACATATCAAAGACTCATAGAATGGCTTAGGTGGGAAGAGACCTTGAAGATCATCCAGTCCCACCCCCTGCCATGGGCAGGGACACCTTCCACTAGCCCAGGCTGCTCCAAGCCCCATCCAAGCTGGCCTTGGACACTTCCAGGGATCCAGGGGCAGCCACAGCTTCTCTGGGCAGCCTGTGCCAGGGCCTCCCCACCCTCACAGAGGGACAAGGTAAGAGTCAACAGGAAGCATCTGAAACTGCGGTCCCATATTTGCAAATTCTCCATGTATTTTGCTCCATGAAAATAATTTGTGGAGGGAAAGAGATAATGGCTGTTTATGAAAGTGGCAGTGTTTGTTATCACTGTGAAATAAGAGTAAATCCCTAAAAAAGTAAAATTATCTAAATTATGGGAGAGGTGCTTGAACTCCACAGTGGTGACATTTCTAACTATAAATATTGGAATGAAGCAAACAAGTGAATAATCCCTTTCCACAAAGCACTGCTCATAACAGCTGACATTTTCAGGCCCTATTTCAGTGCCTTGCTGTATGTTAAATACTATTGCCACATTAAAATATAAATTTCAGCTTTGAAATGTTACAGAAATAACTCCTCATTCCCTTGAGGAACGATGTCACTGTCAATGGACTGCAAAGAAATAAGAAGACACCTGTACAGAGACAAAGAGAACTGGAGTAGGGTATTATAGTGCCCTTCTGGTGGAATCTGCATGGATTATTATTATTATTACTAATTATATTTTGTCTTTGTTGTATTGAGCCCATTGACTGCTGTGCATCCAGTTTTGGGCAGGGAACATCTGAGTTTGATTAGTAAGAAGTACTTTAAATATTTACTCTGCTACTACCAAAAGCCGTTTTGCATTTCAAAGGGATTCATTGTATTTATTCCCTCATTAAACAACCTATTTTTCAGCCGAAGACAGGTTTTGTATAGTGAAGTGTTAATACCTAAAACCAATATCTTCTTATGTTGAGGATGTTACCTGCTGATTAAAACAAGGATCCAGCTCAACTGGGCAAGTTGCTTCCCATCTCTCCGAGACACCAGCACTCAGGAGATGTGATTGATACCTGCTTCCTCTGTGCAAAGATGGGTGAGCTTTATTAGCTCTTTGTGAAGTTTAAATGAAAGATATTGATCCTTTGATGGGAGGAAGACCTTGTTCTTCCTCCCAGCCTAAAGTTCAGGTGTCACATCCTGAAGCTGGGGTAGTTGGGCTTTGGCCTATTGACCCACTGAGTCATGAAGGCACAAAGGCAAAATAAGCAGCGTGTAGGTGAGCATTTAAAGCTCCAAACCTCCACTGGGAAGGGTAAGCTGATGCAGGGTAAGCAGCTCCTATGAAGTTTAGCTTTCAGGCTGGATAATGCACCTCACACGCCAGACAGAGCAGCTCAGTCTGAGCTCGGCTGCCATGGAGGACTCGCCTCGGTCTGTCACCAGCCTGAAGGGGAAGGTCCTGCTACTGCGACACTTTTAGGGCTTAACTGGATGTTCTATTTTTATATTTATTCTCAGGAAGTATTTGCACAAGAGGTTACGAGCACAGGGAGTGACTGGCCGTGGCACTCAGTGCTCTGGGCTGGGTGACAAGGTGGGGATCAGGCACAGGGTGGACTCCGTGGTCTTGGAGGCCTTTTCCAACCTTAATGACTCTGCGATCCTATGTTGTTTTCCATGAAGGAGATGTGTTTGTTTATTCTCACATTGCTTTTGGTCTTACAGACCTTCTCCAGCTCAACAGTTACATCTGAGTACGCTCCTGATCCCAAGCTCAAGCAGAACATTTAATTGCTAAGAGACTTCCTGTACACAGAGCTCTTAATTGCAATTAGAGCATAATACATGAGGAGGCTCCATCCACTCATGTGGACTGGGGTTGTAAACTTAATTTCCCATCACATGACTTCCCTGGGTATTCCATGGTGGTCATGAAAGACACCAGTTATAATCTACAAGCCCCATTAAATTTTCATCCACGTTCAGCTTTGGTGGTGATTTCCTGATGTTCTCTTTCACCCAGGAGTACTTTCCCTTGATAAACACTGATGGAAATGCAACCAAAGTGAACTGATATCATCTCCCTTTTCCATTCTGAGGGTAGTTACTCACAGTTTTGTTCTGTTTGCAACCTGCCAAGGATCAGTTGGCTCAGAGAAGGACTCCAGCACCTCCCCACAGGCACTGCTGTGACAGTCTCCTCCGCTCACCCACAAGTCTCTTGCCAGCCATTTTCAGGCTCAAGGGTAGCATCAATCTCACGATGGGAAACCTTATGAAAATGAAAGCTCTTGTAACCATCAGCAATCCAGAAACCCTCCTTGGCTGTCACACAACCCTGTGATTTCTCACCCAAGAGAGGCTTCCCAGAAAACAGATACTTCTTTTTAACCAGAATTATTTTTAAAAGGTACCTTTTAGAGGTTTAATTTGTCTTTTAAGAGCAGTGGTATCAAGAGAACCATCACGAAGTCTGTCATTGTTCCATGCCTCCTAAACAGAGTTGATAGCACTGCTCTGTCTTTAATCAAAACCTATCCAATACTTAGTGACAAAACCAGCTTAACCTGCTTAAAAATAACAGCACCAATTCATCGAGGTTTTTACAACACCTGATATAGGAAGATAAACGGAAAATATATATTTATTTTTGTCTTGCTTAACTTTGTTTATGATGGCATTATGCAGGCATGCCTCTGGCTTACATATAATTTCCTTGCTCAAAGCCCTCCAAAGATTAGTGAGTGTGTCAAAATGGGTTTGTACAAAAGCAGCCCTGGGGGCCAAAACGTGGAAATTCTACAGTAAAAAAGCCTTAAACATATGAGTGTGTCATTTGTTCTTAGTGTAAATTTAAAAGCATTATCATTCTATTAAGGACTTCAAATGTTTTCTGTTCCCTTCTGCTTTACAGGAAAATTCTTGCTGTGCTCCTAAACATTCAGCAATTTTCAAAAGACAATTTCCCTTGTATTTTTTATTACTGGATTTGTATAGCAATTTAATCCATTCCATATTCTTCCCTGTGAGGGTGGGGAGGCCCTGGCACAGATTGCCCAGAGAAGCTGTGGCTGCCCCTGGATCCCTGGAAGTGTCCAAGGCCGGGTTGGATGGGGCTTGGAGCAACCTGGGCTGGTGGAAGGTTGGTCCCTGTCCAATGCCCCTGCCCCTGGATAAGTTTAGTATCCCTTCCAACCCAAACCATTCTGGGATTCTGTTGACTGGATTTTCAAAGCAATGCCACAATTTTAGCATCCAAAGTTGATTTCTTCACCATTAAATCCTTAGCCCCAGGTGTTTGGAAGTATTTAAGCCTCCAAGAAAAGCAAAAGGTTCAGGTGCTTTTGAAAATACAAGCAGGGCTCTGTATTTTTCCCATGTTACCCAGAAGCCTTTTTTGTTGGAAAAGGCATGAAGGTCAGTCTCTCTGCCCTAAAATCTCTAGATCAGGAGATGAAAACAGTGGGGTTGCCTGTCTTGTTCATCCTTTGGGGAGATTTTATGCTACTTTATGTGGATATTGGGCCATGATTATGTGTATTGCACTCAAAAGATACAGAGAGATGCCTGCAGAGAGATCAGTCCCCAGGGATTTCCCCTACAGCCGGGCTGGGAAGTGAGTTAGATGCCTAATGGGATTTTCAAAAGTACCTTAATAGATTAAGCATCCAGTTACCCGGAGATTTAGGAACCTCATTTTCTTTGCATTAGATTTTCCTTTGAAAATGCAGTGTCTGGGTGCCAGCTGCATCCCTAGGGATACAAAGACCTCTGGAAATTGGGCTTTTAGCAATTTTCCAGGCAGCACATGATGTCAGTGAGCAAATGCAAGAGCTCTGTAGGCTGCTGGCAGGGGCTCTCTTTTTGGAGCTCATCCTTGGGCCCTAATTCTCATTAATGCATGAGAATGTCTGGCTGACATGACCAAAAATACCTGTAAATAAAGATATCCAAAGTGACTCCTTGGCCTCTTCATTCCACATTAAGTTTTATGGAAGAAATAACACATATTTGTAATTATTACTTATGGAGGGAAAAAAGGAAAATTTTAAATCCACTTTAAATTTTACCTTCAAAAGACTGAATTAAGTTATTTTTATCTCCTCTGGAGGTCTTATTTATTTCCTACAGTGGCTGAAAACTTCCTGTGCATCATATTTATTTCTCTTTTAACCCCCTCCTTTAAAGGTCTGTGTCCTACACTCCCTCTTGTTTTTCATGGAAATTTTTATCATGAATTAAAAGGAGCAGACAGAGTTGGGGTAAAGGACATTTTATTTAACTTGGCCTCTGCCTGGACCTACATATTTGTTTATGATTGTCAAGGTTCCTGCTTTCATCCAGGCAGAAAACAGTTGCTAAGCAGCAGCTTTGCTTTATAAAAGACAGAGCCAGGGCCTGATCCTGCCCTGACTTGTGCATGTGGTTGCTTACAGGGTTATCCCAAGGAAGGTGACTTGGATATACCTCCCACCTAAGAGCTGACACGTGTCTCTGTACAACTCACAGAGCGTCTTGGTTTGGGCTGGGAGAGAATTTTGACACACACACACACATATATATATATAAATAAATTCTATTTGTGTTCTTGTATGTATTTCTGGGTGTGTCAGTACAAATTGATGTGAAATTTAGTATCTGTCCTCTTAAATGCATTCATTTACCTCAACTGTGCTGGTGGTATGAAGCCAGTCCATGGATTTTTGCCTTGGAAAAATCCATCATAAAAACCTCGCATTGGGCTTTTGAGTTTCCTGCAAAACCAGAGAGGTTCATAATGTACAAAAGAACTGTCAAGTCATGTCTCAGCCTTTCTTGCATCATCGTGCCTCTGCCATTCTTTTTACTAAAAATAACTCATTTGCTGAAATTTATGCAAGTGTGTGAGGTGAATGGAACTGTACAAACGTTGGAGATGTCACTCAACAACCCTTCCCTGAGTTTTTGACCCGGGACACAGCAGCCAGGAGGACACATGCTGTCCTCTCAGCTCACAAAGCAGATCAAAAGCCTTAGAGGTGATGAGTGCAAATATATAGATTTCACATATTTATCATACAAATATCATATGATATGTGAATATTGTATAATTAGTGGTGTAACTTCAGCAAATCCAATCTAAAGTGCTGTAAAGCCACTGCTCCCACAGTCTGGGAGCACCTGGGAGATGCTGGGAGCACAGACTGCTCCATCTTGGGACCACGGCAGGGACCCAGGCCAGGAATGACATGATGTTACTCCAGAAGAGCACAAAGAGTTCCCTTTGGAGGCACATCCCGGTCAGGTTAAATCCCTGGCACAAAAGTTGGAGCAAAACAAAACAAGGTTCAAAAACAAGTACATGAAGACCAGGTTGTTACAGCTCTGAAACACCACAGGAAGAGGCCAAGGAAAAGCTGGTCTTAATCAGCACTGGTTGTTTTGCTAATCCAGATGGGATTACACAAGATACTTCAACGAGAATTTCACTCTCACCCTGTACCTGCATTTATTATTTTTTTCAGCAGACCCACTTTCATAGGTTTTAATGTTTAATTAACTGTAAATGAACACATTCCCAAAGAAGTGCCAGTGTAGCCAGAAATTCTCAATTTTCCCCACTGCTGCTAACATTCATTTGTTTCACTATATCTTAAATAATACAATTCCAGTACCTCCAACCTGAATTTTAGATGTAATCAGATATATATCTCCCATATGCTGTAACATCATGTCAATATCTGAGTTTACCACAACTTCTCAGCACAAACTTAATGTTTGGCCCAAATCTCCAGTTCCTGGGAAAAGTTACTGCCATTTTCTTTGGTGTTGAAAAGCAGAACTGATTTAAAGTGTATTTTTAAACAGCCAGTGGGAAGTTAAAAAGAGAAGTCACATGCATGACTCATGGTCCTGGAAACAGCTGCACTGCTTTTGGTGACAAAGGGCTGGTTTAGGCCTTATGTAACTCCAGGAAAATCAATATGCAGCAAATGTACTGACCCAGAAAGGAATCTGAGCCCAAATTAAAAAAATTACACAAACTGGCTCATCTCGTGTCTTTAAATGGGGGTTCTTTGTCCCCCCACATCTCTCACTTGCTGTGATGAGTGATGTGCTGGCAGTAGATTGGGTCACTTGTAGATCAGAACAGGTTCAAAGCTAATCACTGCTGTACTGTGAGTGTTTGACAACACGAGGAGTATGTTGGGCCATTAAAAAATCCCAAAATTCAGGCTGCACCCACCCTAACTGTGGGCAGCTTCTGGAGAGATAAAAAGGACTACATTCCAGTACCATTCCCCTGGAATTCAGCCTCCAGAGACCTCTGCAAGTACAAAACTGCTTATTTCCACACCTCCTAAGGACTCAGGAAACCAGAGCAGCGATGCTGGTTGTCTCTTTTAGGCACAAGTTCTGTTTGATACCAAAAATGCTGGACCATGAAGGACTAAACTCTTCCTCAGTATGTATTCAAAGTGGTTATTTTTGTGCCTGGCTGTAGTTAGTTTCCCAATACCCCTGAATGTTTTATCTGCTGTTTATGGACACTGTATTCTGCTCACAGATTATTGGGTACTGTAGTACTCAAAACTAAAGCAAATCCAAGTATCTAAGATACATATTTAGCAACCCCAGGCCTATTTATAGGCTCTCAGGCCAATGGTCTATCTCACAGACAACTGGGAACAGAAAATGCTGTTTCAGGAGAGCCCATGAGCCAATTCCTGTGGTCCCTCCTACTGCCCTGAGTTAGGGATATTAGAGGATACATCTCTGACTATTCCCTGTAGTAGCTATTCATGTACTTGGCATCCATGAATTTGTGTAATCCCATTCCAAATCAGCCTCCATCACCTCCTCAGGATGCAAATTCCAGAAGTTCATTACGTGTCATTTAAAGAAGTACTTTCTTCAATTAAAGTTTCGAATTTACTTTTACCTCTTTCAACCTATGTCCTCTGTTACTGACGGATTTAGGGAATAACAGCTTGTCATGCACCCATCAGCCTCATCCAAGGCCAGGCTGGACAGGGCTTGGAGCACCCTGGGCTAGTGGAAGGTGTCCCTGCTCATGGCAGGGGGTGGCATTGGATGTACATATAATGTCTGTCATATTTCTGTTTTCATAGGATGTCAGCATCATCCTGAAAAAACTCCTCCTTTGTTTGTTATGAATGGAATTCCAGGTGACTGTAGAATAGTCATCCCAAGTAATCCAACAGGCTGTGCAATAAACTGTTGTAGGTCATCTCTGCTTTGCTTGTACAGCAGCAAGAAAGGGATCCCTTCTTGTGACAGCTGTTGTCATCCCTTCCCCTTCTCCTGAAGGGAATGTTAGTCCAGTTGCAGCTTGTGCCTCTTCCCCATTAGCTCATTTTCTGTATTTCAGCCATTTCAATCATGTGTCCACCACCAAACCCCATTGCCCTGAGAGCAAAGCATAACACCCAGCCAAAGGCACACTGCAGTGCCATCCTAGTCCCTGGAATCTGCTCAGCCCCTCAGCACAAAGAGGAGGCAGCAGGCGAATGATCCAAGATATTGCTTCAACCACACAGACTTAGGACATGTGTTTCCCATGTCTAGGAGTAGGTTTCCCATCTCCTGTTCCTCTGGACACAGCAGCAGCTGCACGTACAGTGCCGGTGGTCTGAGACAGGAGAGCAAGTGTTTCAGCCTGTGCCAGGGGAGGAATGACATCCAGCTCCACCAGCTGCTCCCTGACCTCAGCTGGGAGGGAGGGAGGGAGCAGCCTGGAGCAGGCAGAGAGAGTTCCCAAGGAACCAGTGTCGAGAGGTGTGGTGGGCAGAAGTGGGTTTTCAGGCAGAGGAACCAGAGGTGGGCCTGGGAATTTGAATGGAGACTGGAAAAATGGCTGTGGATAATAACGAGCTAAGTAAGCCCTAAAGTAAGGAGGAGTCAGGACTGGCAAAGCCAAGTTTGTCAAGAGAGTTAGTTTGTGGCTAAAGATGGATTGAGTGGAGAAGGGTAAGGGAGGGTTACTGCTGACAGGAATGATGTCACAGTGTCAAATGATATCTCCTTCATTCGGCCTGTGTGGTTGGGTTGGGTTTGGAGTTTTTAATTCTGAAATTGGGAAGTCCTGGAAAGCTCGAGACTGTTCCTTGTTCTATCTCCTCCACCAAACTTTTCACTATGACCATGCCATTACCCATTCTTTCCCCAAATATGCAGTTCCTAGTGCCAGGATTTAATTTTTCAGGGAGGTAGCTAGGAAGGATGGGAAGATACTACAGCAATACCTGCAGCCAGCCAGTTATTTTGGCCATCAGCCTTCACTGATGACTTAAAAAACCTCAAGTATTTTATCTTATCCAAATGATAATTCATCTTTCTGGATATTTCCTCCCCAAAATCATCCTGGGTTATTCATATTCATAAGGTGGTCCTGTTCTAAATAGTTATATAAAACAGACATGCATGTGCATGAGTCACATTGCTCTTTGCATCACACCAGAACAATGGCTTTAGGGTGAAAGTGTGTATACAGGACCTGGGTGTTCCAAATTTAACTCCCAGTTTGGCTCCATTCTTCCTTTGTGACTCAAGCCAATGACTTGGCCTTTTTGAGCCTCAGCTTCTAAAGCTGCAAAATGAGGTCTGTAAATCTCTCTGAGCTGCTGTGACACTACAGTCATTCATTTTTGTGATGGGATCAGAGATTACGGTAGGGAAAACTTCAAGTAAAGTAAGTATGGTAGAATTCCAAATAAATTCACTCATAAAAAGGGAGTGACTACAAAACCAAAAGGGACCCAGCTTTCACTTACAGATTTCAAACTGGACTTTATAAATGGTAATGCCACTTCCCCTTTCCCATCAAACACATCAGATGTGTTCATTTAGAAGTGAAAGGAAAAGATAAGGCACCCCATAAAAGTACCACAAGGTAGAGCCACTGGGGATTGTTCTCTCTAATGAAGAGTCAGTAATTTATCACCTTGGTGTTTGCCAAAAGTCATAAAAGCAGGCAACGAAAATTAGTGAAGAAAGGACATTCAGAAGACAGACCATAAATGAACAGGAGGCAAAAATTAAGAGATGAAGATAGATTATCAGTTCTGGGGGAAAGCAAGACAACATTTTAAACTTCAGGCCTCAGGATTGATATAAAAGGAACATCTGCTTTGTTTGCTCTAGTATCTCCTAGAATTCACAAAAGCTGAATACACACTCTGGTTTTTGGAGTGGCCATGAGAGTTTTTGGGTCTGAAACAGCTTGTAGAAAACCACTAGTGCCTTTTCCTCTTGTCCCTAAATACATATCATTCCCAATGCTGAAGACTTGGGTGGTAATTAAGGATGTAAAACTGTAAGTAAACCCTGCTGCAATTACCTGAGTAATCTGGTTCAAATCAACTCACAGGGCTGATGGAAATGTTACTGCAGTCAATTATTTCCCACAGTTGCACAAGGGCCGGGTTCTTGTTCCCACTGAGTTCAAAGGTAAGCAGGCTTTTAACTGACAGGAGCAGGAACTTGCTGTTGCTGGTAGGGATGGCTGCAGAGCTTTGGAGCTGGAACAAAACACACACAGCAATTATCTTGGCACCACAGACAGCATGTTCCAAACTCTCCATCTTATATATGACAATAACTGAGTCCTTAACACCAGGGTCAAAAGAGAGTGTTTCATTTTAATAAAAATTGAGTTTGTTGTTCCACTGCCTCTCCTGGCTGTGCTGGTAGGTTAATGCCCAGGCTGTAAGGATGGCACTGTGGGATACACATACCCATACATTCATTCAAAGGACTAAGCTGGGCATTCCACCCAGCACAATTAATGCTCCCGGGTAACACGAGCCTGTAGCTGCTCTCACTCTCTGTGCTAGAAGGATGGGGCCAAAGAGGGAGCATGACCTCTGGAATGTGAGCATGACCTTCCAGTGGAATGTGCAGTGCTCAGGAGGGCACAGGGACATGACACCGAGTGGATGTTACAGACTCTTGGTGCATCTAGTTTGTCCCCATGGGCAGAGTGCTGGAATTTTAAATCTCTCCAGCCTTTTTGTCCCCTCTCAAGTCCTTGGGGTAATTCAGATTCTGGAGGGGAGACACTGGTGATGCAGGAAAAGCGTCTCTTGCTCCAAATGTGCTCCTTACACTTTTCCCTGTGCTGCTCTGTCCTGTGACATGACACTGATGAAATCAAAGAGAATCCATGTCTCAGAAAGTTATTTTTCAGACACTGTCAATACAGAGTGAGGACACGATTACACTACATTTCTGTGTTCTATGGAATAAATGATGGAGTTTAAGATTAATTCATTGCTCTTCATCAAGAAACAGTGTAGCTCACCTTTGCTTGTTCCTGTGCACATGAGAAAATTGAGAAAAGCAACCCTCAAGGAGGGGTTCTCATTAACCTCCTGCCTTCCTGCCAGCAGGAATAGCAATTCTCACAGCAGCAATAGATTTCCTTTCACAGGACATAAAGGTTTTCCTATATTTTTCTTCTTTTTTTTTTCCTAATTAAGTTAGTCATAGCATTATTGTGGCTGAAACATATAAGCAGAGTTAAAGTAACTTTAGAAATCTACCCTTCTGCTTGTGCAGAGATTACAAATGCGCAGTCCAACTCCTAAATCAATTTTGTTCTCATAGCTTTATGTTAGCCTTAATTAAAAAAATAAAATTGAGGGACACTGGGCTCTTCTGTAAAAGCTGAAAAAAGAGCTTTGCTTGTGCTATCATTCTTAATATTTGAAGAAACACTCATAATTTAAAATTTTCTAACTCATTTTTCTTCACATTTTGATTTTTCATTAGTAACGATGTAGCTTCAGATGGAGAAAAATAAAAAGAAGGAGGAGCAAATAGGGAGCTCCCAGGCTGCAGTACAGGCAGCAAACATATTTAGTAAGTGCAACCTCAAGGACAAATAGTACAAAGCTCTTACTTGCAGGCACAGTCAGAAGCTGGCAGAAAGCTGAGGGGTCAGGAAGGCAAACAATTCAAGTGCAAAGTGTTTTATTGTAACCCTCTGGACAGGATGTTTCAGCCAAAGAAACTATTGTCCTTATGGAAGCACGAAAGACCTACAGGTGTATGGAAAGAATCAGCATTTTTATAATGTACAAGTAGAACATATTTGCAAATACCACTGCCCAGCAACCACAACTTAATACAGCTGGAAAGCATTTCATTTTAACTAGGCTCCTGGTCCTAAATAAACAATAACCACATTTCAAGTTCTACAGGAAAGCCATAAACTAGAGATTTTTTAACAGCTCGTGCCTGACCAGAAACTCTTGAACATGTGAACTCCAAAGGATCAGACTTTAGTCCAGTCTCCTTAAAACCAAAGAATCCCAGACTGGTTTGGGTTGGAAGGGACTTTAAAGCTCATCTCGTTCCACCCCCTGCCACCCCCCTGGCCAGGGACACCTTCCATTGGACCAGGTTGCTCCAACCTGGCCTTGGACACTTCCAGGGATGGGGCAGCCACAAATGTGCCACTCCATTTGCTGGGGATCAGATCTGAACATCAGCTTTTGATTTGTCTGCTCCAAGAATGGTGACAGGACAGGTACTGCTTTGAACACATCCACACTTGTGATCTGATGGTACATCTGGGTTAAATACTGTCCCAGGCCAAGGGAAAATAACTTGTAACATAAAGAAAGTAGGCTCTCCATGCCCAGGATGGATCTGCTGACAGTTGCCTGGGGAGAATTGTCTTGAAAGAGTTATAAAAGTTGTAATTTTTCAAAAATTGTCACAATCTTCTCTGTGCAAGATATATCTGCAGCTGGGAGCTCACACGAGGCTTCATCCCAAAAGCTGTTGTCTTTGAGATGGCAGGACTGATCCTTCAAGGACAGGTATTCAGAAGAAGGGGTTTTTTTAAGACATTAACTAGCAGCTCTCTCGGAATCCTCTGTACATTTTCTGTGGACTTAATCCAATGGAATTAATTAGAGAGACTTCTATTTGCTTAATGGAAATGAGACAAGGCATAATTTATAGCCCTGTTGTGGCAGACAGGCTCTGGCTTTCTGTCCAGCACAAATCAAGGGAGGTGACTCTGGTGGAAGAATGGGAAGGAAGAAGGGAAAGATGTTTACATTGTTCAAGAAAGATGAACAGAGACTTGATAGAGAACCTGCCTTCAAAATGTAAGGCCATGGCTATTAAACCTGGGTCTTTTAATACTCCTCCATAGTGCTTATAAATTTCCTACAATCTTTGCTCCTAAGTAAAGGATTTATCCAAGATCATCATTGCTTTGCCACAGGGAAAGGAAAGGAGATGAAGTGCCCTGCTCAGAGTAGCTCTTATCAGCCAGATGGCAAATGAGGTGCCAGAGTTTACAGGAAAGAGTCCAGTGTGGACCATCAATCCCAACACAGCCCAAACAACATTAAAATGTCATTGCTAAGGACTCTGAGAGCCAAGGCACAGACAAAATGTGTTCTACACAAAGACTTCTGCAACCAGAATAAATTATGGAAAACCTCTCCAAAATGCAGCAAGGAAAAGCTACGGATGAGTAGACCGGTGTGAGAATTACAGAGAACAAAAGGAACCTTCAGTTGCAATACATATCTATATATAATTTAAATATATACACAATAAATGACAATTCACTAAATTGTATTGGGTTTCACAAAGCGTTTTGTTCACTCATAGAAAGAATTTTTCTCTTTAAAACCAAAGCAGGGCCCAGATCCTTGGCCGGTGGTGTCCCTGGCTCAGGTGCTGCACTGCACTGAGCTGTGCTAGTCTGGTCACACTCTGTGATGCTGCATTTAAAGACATATTGTAGAATGATTTGTCTTTATGTGAAGAGAAAAAGGTCTTGTTCTTACTTCTAGGACTAGCTTATTTTTTCTGCATTTTCTCCATTTTCAGTGCAGCAATCCAAGCCCCGTATTTTGTTCTCACCAAATCTAATATTTTCCCCTCTCACGTGGTTTTCACAACACAGCTTTGTCAGAAGCAGAGTTTGATGTGATGACATCAAGGCTTTGCAATATCCAGAATTAACAAATGCAGCCTTTCCTTTAGCCATTATATCTTTAGATGAGACATGTGGGGACAGGGACCAGCAGAAGAGCCACATCAGAGTCAGGGACACCTACAAACCACCTGGCTTAGGAGGAACACACCACTGGCATGAAAAGCAAGAAAGCTTTCCAACTCAGTCCCACTAGTCCCTTCCAATAATGTGTTCTTCTTCAGAAATCAATTAAGATTTAGCATGAGTTTCATTGGGACGGATTGCAAAGTTTCTAGCAATTTGAAATTAAAGTATTTGCATGTCATAGAAGTCTTTTCCATCATCACAGGAAATACAGTTGTCCAGAACAATGGTGTTTTAATGATGTAAAATAATTTCATGTTGATTACTAAGCAAGGAGCACAGGAAAAAAACCCTTTTTTTTCCAGGAGTGAGTTTGGGTCATCAGAATGCAACCGGCCCAAAGGAGATGCTGCCTGAGGTCCTGGCTTAGACATGCTTCCCAAAATCCCAAACGTGTTCCCCTGTCTACGTGAAGAGAACTGGGAACACTGACCTGCTAACTGTGCTGTGGGGAAGATGCTACTCTTGCTCTCTGACGTCTCAGTCGGTGGCTGATAATGAAAACTGACGGTGATTCATAAAGACATCTCCTTTCCTGAGAAAACTGGAACAGCAGCTTGCGTAATCCCGAGATTTACTTAATTAAGGAACATCCCAGCTATTTGATCATGGTTCCTGTCTCTTGTCTGCACCTCCTGCTCCCTCCCAGCTTTGCCTCTGATTACAATGGCCCTGATAAGAAACTTCATTCACAAAGCAAGCAGAGAGTGGGAAGGCAGGACTGAGGTGTGGCTGGTGATTTAAAAACTGAAAGGAGGCAGTGAGAATGTCTCAGGGAAATCGGGATTGTCCTGTTTGCTGCAGGCAAAGTGAGAAGCTGGGGAGGGCTCAGCTGCAGTGTGGGCACTGTGTATCTCAGAGAGGTGTGTGGGTGAGGAATATACCTACAGCTTTAATGCCTGCTTCCGAGGAGACAAGACCATTATTTGCAGTATTTTGAAGCACTTTCTGCTTGAAATCTCAGAAACACACAACTTCAGTGTTTTGAAACACACTTCTGCACCGAGATTCTTGAAAAATTATAGAGAAATGGGTAAATATTATAATATATGACAATACATCATGCACATTTGACCGGCAAGACACTGAAGCTGTATCTAACATAATCTACAGGTTTCCTATTTCCTGACCAAGGCGGCCTCCGAATCCGGAGGAAGTACACAAGGAAATTGCACAGGGAAGTGTATCGCTGCCTTCCAGGTGACCTTGGCACTTTAAATCAGGAAGCAAACATGGAGCCTCAGCCTTCACCCGGTCCGTGGATTATTTATGATGATCTTGCAGCAGCTCTCAGGCCCAGCCATGAATCAGGAACCCGCTGCACTATCTCACATACAAACACATAACAAACAGACAGGGCTTCAAATACCCCTCATTTATCAGCAGGGATGTTTTCAAATTACTTTCCCTGGCAAGATAGGATTTATCGTGAAGAGAGTGTGTGGATATTTCTCATCCAGCTGGGAAAATGCCGTTCCCAGGGGGTTCCAAGGTGCTGGAAGAGGCGAGATGGAGCTGGCGTTGCCTCACACACAGGGCAGGCTGCCAGGGAGAGTTCCCAGCATTAAGCATGGCATTTTTTGGTCAACTAGATATGACCCCTTGAACTACAGCCCGGAGCAACGAGGGGGAGTCATGGCTGAGGGGCGGCCATGGCTGAGGGGATGACATGGCTGAGGAGGTCACATGGTGGAGGGGATCATGGCTGAGGGGGTGACATGGCTGAGGGAGTGTCATGGCTAAGGGGGAGTCATGGCTGAGGGGGTGACATGGCTAAGAGGGAGTCACGGCTGAGGGGGGCCCATGGCTGAGGGGATGACATGGCTAAGGAGGTCAAGGCTCAGGGGGTGTCACAGCTGAGGGGATGACATTGATGAGGGGATCATTGCTGAGGGGGTGACATGGCTGAGGAGGTGACATGGCTGAGGGGATGACATGGCTAAGGAGGTCATGGCTGAGGGAGTGTCGCAGCTGAGGGGATGACATTGATGAGGGGATCATTGCTGAGGGGGTGACATGGCTGAGGAGGTGACATGGCTGAGGGGATGACATGGCTAAGGAGGTCATGGTTGAGGGGGTGTCGCAGCTGAGGGGGTGCCATGGCTGAGGGGATCATTGCTGAGGGGATCATTGCTGAGGGGGTGCCATGGCTGACGGGGTGTCACAGCTGAGGGGGTGCCATGGCTGAAGAACACAGGCCGCACCAGGTTTGAAAAACAAGGGTCACCGAGCCAGTTGTGCTCGCGGCTCAGTGCTAAGAGCAACCCCGCGGCGGCGCCGGGTACCGGCAGAAACGGGCACGGTGGGTCCGCCCCTACCTCCTCCTCCTCCTCCTCAGCCCTCACGGGCCCGGCCGTTCTCCCGCCGCCCCTGAGGCGGACGCGCCTTGGCCGCAGCGCCCCGGCCGCGGAGGGCGGAGCGGCCGGACTCGATTCCCGTCCGAGCGGGGCCGATCACCGCCCCAGCACCGCCTCCTTCCCTCCTTCCCTCCCTGCCTGGCTTCCTCCCGCCCCGCGCAGGCGAACGGTCCGAGGCGCAGCCCCTGCGTGTTCCCGCAGCTCCGTGGCCGCGCTTCCCGCTCCGCTCCCGCCGCCCTCCTCCTCCTTCTCCCCCGGCAGCGCCGCGCCCTCCGCTCCCTGTTCCCGGCGGGCCGGGGCTGCCCCTGCAACCGGCTTCCCCCGCACTCCGGAGGCTCCCAATATGTTCAGCGCCGTCTGCGCTCAGAGGCACCAGGTAGGGCGGGCGGGGGGCGGCAGGGCCGTGCGGCCGGTCTTTGTTCGGCGCCGGGGAGCGGGCGGGGCGGCGGCCCCGGGCGGGCGCCCCGCGCTGAGGGAGCCGGAGGCGCTGCGGCCCCGCCGCTCTTTGTTGGTGCTCGGGGCCCGTCTCCTCGGGCCGCGGAGTTGCCGTGTGGGCACGGCCTGGAGGGCGGGAGGCCGCTCGGTGCCTGCGGGGGCAGCGGGGCTGTGGTGTGACCCCGGCCGGGGCTCCCCGCGCTCTCCGGGGCTGCGGGGCCAAGGGCGGCGTTGCCTCCCCCAGCGCCACCTCCCTGGACCCTCGGGAGTAACTGGGGGGAAAGGATCGCGGAAGTCCCGGGCTTTGCAGGAAATAGGGGTGAACAACGTGTGCTGACAGCTGCTTGCCAATGTCACGACCCTTTCTGTCATCCGTACCCGCTCTAGGAACTGGGGGATAATACAGCCAAATGTGGGCTGTCAGCCCACGTTAGTGCTTCTGGGGAAAGCTGGGGAGGATGAATGACCACGGGGTTTGTTGGGTTTTTGTTTGTTTCGGGGGGGTGGGTGGGCAGAAGTACGGTATTTTCTGCCGGTGTGCACCAATTTCCAGCAGCTTTGTGGAATTTTTCAGAGGCGTTTCAAGGTAGGAAAATACCTTCGCATTAGAAAATACCTTCGCGTTGGCACCCTCACTTTTCCCTCACCCGGAATTCCCACGGACAGTAAAACCTGGATGGATTGGTTATGATTTTTATGGAGGATAGAGGAATGTTGACAAAGTGAGAGGCAGAGTTACTCCTGAGGAGATGAGTGGTGGTGGAGTAATGGAAACACAGCCTCATGTCACTCTTTATTTGTGTGGTTTGTGAAGGGAGGATTTTTTTTTTGTTGTTTCCAGTGATGGGTGTGTAGACACCACATTTATTCTCTTCTGTCAGGGAGCTGCAAAATAAGAAGCCAAGCAGGATGTGGTGCTTCGATGGTGAGATTGGTTTAATTTTAGAAAGCGGATTTTTTAGCCACAGGCCTGACTCCTGAGCACAGGGTGCAACAGCGAGGGAATACTTTCCAGTTAGGAAGCTGCTGTAAATAGGTCTGATTTTGTTTTCCTCAGCTTGAGTTCATAAGGAGCAGGAGATGGTAAGAAAGGCAAAAACTACCCAGAATGGGGGGGTGGGAGACCAGGAGGACACACAAACAAACCCCACTAATTTGGTTGTGTGACAGATGTTTAGAGAACTGTGGGAAGTGTCTATTAGTGGAAAAAAGAAACCCATGAGGAGGGAGGGAGGGGGGAGGAAAGAGCTCAGATTTTAGTAGAGTGGATGTGAGGCAGAAGCTGAAAAAAGAGATGTAGATAAAGACTACGTGGGAAAGGGGAGGAAAGGCAGGAGCAGTGTGGAAAGGGGACTAATGAACAGTGCTGGGACTCGGAGGTGTGGGAGGCCAGTCCTGGAAGCGAGTGCTTAAATGGGCAGCTGAGGTGTCAGAGCTGAGGGTTGTCGCTGGAACAGCAGTAACAGTCAAGCAGAAAGCCTGCTGCTTATAAATTTTTAAAGTGTGCATGCATAATGTGTGTTTGGAAGAGCTCTCTAGGCTTGCTCTCTGTAGAGGACAGCCCAAGTATTGCGTCTCTGGGGCCGCATGTCAGAGATTTTGGAAAACGTCCACAGTACTCCATCCTTCCCGTTCAGTTCTTACCCAGGGATAGCAAATATTCCCTCCCTCTCTCCTCATTGCTGGGGTGGGAGCACAACTGAGGTTGATTTGCAGCGAAATAGAGCAATTTTGTCTACAAGTCATAGTTATCAGTGAGACTAAATCTTCAGGGGAAATCAACTGAGAAGTGAATAAGCAAAACAAATTGTTGTAAATCTTGAGTCTTACTTTAAATCCCTGGTGTAAAGAAGTCGAGCCTGTTCAGTGGTGTAAAGTATGTTGATACGTGTCTTGGTCTGTGATGTGGACCAGTGCAAACTCAAACATGAAAAGATAGTGTGTTTTTATCATAAATAAGTGCTAATCTCTGAAAGAAATGTTTTGAGGACGTCTGGTTTTATCTTCTGATACAGGTAATGGACTGTGAACGGTTGTAGGTGTGACCTGCATTTCTTCTGAGCTGGGCTGTGACAAGCCAGAAAGCACCTACAGAGGTGTTACATTCCATTTTTGTTTCATTGTCCCAACAAGTGTCAATCGAGTGTCCATCATTATTTCAACAAGTATTGACTTTTAATCGACAGATGAACAAGTATCTCTCCCAAGGTAGTGCTTCACTTGTGAGTTGAAGAGGTAATACCTTAATGTGACAAAAAAGTTTGTGCAAACTTGGCACAGAGCAAGGGCTTTGTCTGCCTTTCCAGTGAAATACAGCACGTGGAAAGTGGACTGTATTAAAGGTGAGAGGTGAGAGAGATATTCCCTGTGTTGTTGGGTCATGGGCAAGGTGACTTTTGCCTCTGGGGCTTGTCTTGGTGCCTCACCAGAGATCACAGGTCCTACAGGTGGCTCTGCAGGGGAGTCCCAGGGCACAGTAAAGGGTTTGAGATGCCCCAGTAATAATCTTGGGGAAGGTTTTTTAAATGCTGGAATATTTTCTGCAGTGAACAACTGTTTTAATAAAACATTGGGTTGTGCAGATTCAAAATGCTGAATGCAATTAAGAATTTAAAGTGTATTAATTATTACATTTATTTGCTCTTGTAACTGAGCTAATCATATTCCAGCAGCATTTACAAGATATATAAGAGGATAGTGTAGTGAAGGATGAGAAGACTTAGTATCATGGTTATTTAGGTGAGTCTTCTTAAATGCACCTTTAAATGTACATACAGTGAAATGGAAAGATGAATTTAAGAGGAGGAAGTTTCCCTTCTGGAAGCCAGTAGTGTGTGCAGCCAGTTTATCTCCGAGTGTGTTACGAGCCGTGACTCTTTCATGGCCCAGTGGTACACACAGGCAGCAGTGGAGAACCTCAGTCTGTGCCCCACCTGAAGTGCTCAGGAACCACAGTTATTACAGCACAGTTGTGTTTGAGTGGAGCAGCTGGGCAGACATTTGAGTCCTGGCATTCCTGTGCTTGGGAACAGCGTGACGTGGGAACACACCACGTGAGCGTTGGGCAGCACAGCGTGATCGGCTCTCGATCGAAGGGCTGTCACCACTGTCCAACCTCAGGATTAACTAGAACAGAAATCCAGAGCTCACGCATCACTCTGATTTCTTTTCTTTGCTTCATTTAAAAAGTAAGTGCAGGGAGCTCTCAAGTAAGAGTTTTCCCAAGTGGAATGTGTTGTTCCCATTCCGGGGTGCCAATTTTGTAGCTTTAAAGTGTTTAAAGAAGTGCATTTGGGTGGAGCTTGAAAAGTCTTCAGAGGCACCAGGATTTTCCTGGGTGGCAACGATCTGGGAACATCACACTTGGCTTCAAACAAATTCAAAATCCTGGAAAACTGTGGAAAAAAGCCACACATGGTTCTTGCTGTGGTGAGCTAGAAGGGAGTATAAGCAAGGGGGGGAAAGGTAATGACAAAGTGATTTAGATTTTTAAAATAATTTTTAGGAAGAGGTTGTTTGCAGTACCTGTTTATAACCTTTAATGCAGAAAATGCAGCATTCTTGGCTTTTCAGTGAATTTTGGCTGATAGTTTGGCTTTTTTTTTTTAGCAGTAGTACACCAAACCAAAAAGAATGTGGAAAGTAATGAATCTGCTCATGCTATTTAATGCTATTTTGAGTAATAATATTAGCCATGACACACAAAACAGCACTGAAACTCTGTGGCAATAATTAAGACGTTCTCAGACATTCAAATTGGACAATACTTTGAGGTGCATCAATGTGTATGTGTGGGTTTGATGTCACACACAGAGAGACAAATCTTCCATTGCAATCCAGAATTATTTGGGATGGCCTTTTTAGGTCTCCAAGGTCACAAGAACAGTGGTATAACACTTGTAAAAAAGTTGATATGCTACAGCAGAATGTGACAAAACGTGCCCAGAGATGTAAACTGAGCGAGGCCGGTGCTGAGGTTGGTTTGGAATTGTTTGACTGGCTGTCCTGTACCTGGAAGTGTTTTGGTTGAGGTGAATCTTTGGGGAGTCAGGCTCTGCTCTGAGAAGTTTGGATCACTTTGAAACCTGCAGTGATTATGGCAGTTGTACCCACATGAGAAGTGTTGACTGCCAAATGCTTAATTAAATAATATTTGGTAAATAGAGCTTGGTTTCAATTTCAGAACTTGCCTGTAGGATTATAAAAAGACTACACCTTTAATCTTTGAGATTTCTTTTCCTAGAAAAGCAGGCTGACCTTAAAGTAGAAGGTTGCAGTCCCAGGGTCCTCCCAGCGTTCCAGGGTTCTCCATTCCAGCTGGATGGAGCTCTGGAGCAGGTGTTCCTCCCTTGGAGGAGGGGGTGTGCCCGTTCCAGTAGCCAAACTTAACGACTGTTAATTCTTCCTGCCCGAAGTGCTGTCTGCAGGGCTGCGGGGCTGGGAGCCGGGATATGGCGGGATAATGCCCCCTGCCGCTGCCGGGAATCAGCCTCCCGCTG